TATTTGTACACAACCAAGTAAAATGGGAAGAAGCTACCTCATAAGAGGCATTGTATCCTAGCAGTTAGAGTGAAAGGGATAAATACCAGGAAGACTTTGTTTCTGTGCCACACTGTCACTGACTTTATGGGCATGTTAGTTGTGGTACTTGACATCTGAATCTAAATACCTTCTTTAGCCTAGCTGGGCATGAGCTTTCACATGACAAAGCCCTACCAGATTATTGCATCTTCAGTTTCTGCACCAATAAAAGGCATCATAAAAAAAACCCTGGCCTCTCATACACTGCAACAACACCCCAAAACTACTGCAAATAATTAGTATTACAAATATGTAACGAAGGATAGATTTACTGTAAAATATTCCATTTTCCTGTGTTTTGATGTTCACTTTCCAGGGGCATTCCTATGATTGCTTGCATAGCATTCATATTTGTGAAGCATTCATGCTAGTAACTTGATGATAGCCCTGATCAAAGTCAGTTGAAGGGACTGCATAATCTGTCACTGGCTTCAGTGAGCTGTCAGCTAGAAGTTGCTCATCAGATTTATATGTTTATTCACAACTGATCCATACATCTCACATTACCAATGTTTAATATTATATAGAAAGTAAACAAAGTCTCTGAGAACATATTGGTCTTAGAGGAGAGCAACATTTTTTGTTGGATGAATTATTTCACTGCCTCTGAGCTACTATTTTAATTCTAGATGAGAGGAGTCATTACTATTTTAAAGATGGAAGAAAAAAATCCATGCATTTTAGGGATACATTTTCTTAACTTCAGGCAAATAACTTCAGAATTAGAACTTTTTTGCAGGGGGAGAGGTCTGATTTCTATCTTTTTTTTTTTTCTTATTTCCAGTGAACCAAAATTCTCTTGCTAGCATTTCCAATTAAATGAACAAGAAAATCAGTTTAATTGAGCAGCTGCTGGGGCCTGTCTGGACGTCAACTTTTGGAACGGACCCAGCATGTGCAAGCTCCTTGAGACAAAAGACAACAGGGTTGGTAGCTCTAAAGCAGACAAGATTTCTACCTGGAAAGTTTTACAAGTGAAAGCTTGTTGAAACTGGCCATGGCTACACTAGATGCTAACTGCGCAGTAGCTCATTACTACTGCACAGTAGCATTGCATGACGTGAAGCGTGATACAACACTACTGCACAGTAGGCATGTGTAAAATGGGCCATATTTGATTTGGATTCAGCCCAAATAGGGGACAGTGATTCGAGTTGTTGATTCAGATCACTGTCCCTGAGTTGATTTGGCCAAATCCGAATCTGAAGATTCGATGCTGATTCAGAAAATCAGCAATTCAGCCATAGACACAGCTTTAAATGTTTTTTCTACATACCTTGAGGTACAAGGCATGGCTCATGAACGCTGCAATGCTGAGACAGATGGAGTGTCCCACAGGAGCACAGGCCCTCCCTCCCCCTGCGTGCTCAGTGGCAAACCCAGAAGTGGACTGAAAGTACTTCTGGTCCACTTCTGGGTCCACCAGAGAACATGCAGGGGGCCCTCCCAGGCTCCCCTGACTCTGCAATCAGGCACTGGGGGACCCCGGATGCCCCCCCACAACCCAGGAGGCACCGGTTGTGGCAGAAAGCCACCTTGGTTTCTCCCCAAAAATCTCTGCCCTGTGACACTGTGATTTAAATCTCTGTATTGTGACCATTCAATTAGGATGGGCCCAGCACACGGGACCACACCCTCAGCCTGTCTCTTTAGGGAACTTGAGCTGGCTGCATTCCTGAGGGAGGGGGGAAACCTGCTCCCTCTGCCTACCTGACTTGCATCACTTACCTGGGTAAGGGGTTTCTACCTGGGGAGCTGGAATCTGCCCGGTAACAGGTGATGCATTTCAGATTGGTTGGCTGACAGCCAACTGGGGCTGACCTCCTCTGGCCCAGGTGAATGAGGTCACAGGGGCTATATAAGTTAGGAGGGAAGGAGGCGGCCTCTCCGGCCATGAGGTGAGGCTGGAGCCATGAGGGGGGACTCAGAGGAGCATAAACATCGGAAAGGGCCCTCTCCCCCAAAAACTCGAACAAGGAACAGCCGGACGCTAGAAAGGCTCTCATCAGCCTCTGGAAGAAATGTGTGAGTAAGCTACTCGAGATCTGATAGATATCTAGCTGGCAGTAATTTAGATGC